TACGTGCAATAACAATCATGATAGTTTGTTCGGCTAAGTTCAAAACAACTTTACTCAACATGCTACCTTTCTCTTGATCACATATACAGAGGAATAAGGATAATTTGTCATGTATTTTCGGTTCAGTTCACAATGTAACAATGTTGTGTAGAATTAAAGTTGCTAATAACCAAGTATATCCTATTAAAAGCAGAGAGAACAATAGCATGCTAAAGATCATCTAATTTCCCCCCTTTCCTCCCTCCCTCTCTTTGCAGCATTATCTGACTGAATGGATCGATTCATATCCCTGAAGATCAATTTTGGTGCCATGTTCCGAGGGCAATTGCATCCAGGTATGCCAATCGCCTTTGGAGGAATAACAGCTGCACCTGTCAGCACCACTAGATTTGCTCCCATGGAGTAATTAGGGAAAAAGAAGGACTGTCACAACCAGCTTCAGAAATAGAACACATTGTGGAGCTGTGTTTGAAATAAAAGAACGTACCTCATCAGATGCACAAGGTTGGATACTCACTAGTACTACTTGCTAAAATAAAAAGAATACGATTGAGGCAGTAACATTATCATTTTATTTTAAACAACTTTCAGCTTTTCTATGGGATGAAAAGCAGGAAGACATCTCTATACAGAATGATACTATTAAAGATTCTAACAGACTAATTTAGAAGGCAAGGAATTTTGTCGTTATTACCGTATTAAATAATAAACACAGAACCCTTTGATCATCTCTTGCAAGTGATCAATCAGTAGAGGCTCCTTTACCTTTTATTCACATCCAGCATGCTTTAGAAGTATTTGAATTGGAAAAAAAATCTTCATGAGTAAACAAACAGCACGCTCATTTTTTTTTTTAGAACACTACTGCACTTTTTAATTTTTTTCAAAGTGGAATACATAGGATTGGATTAAGCAATGTCACTCAATCCTCTTTGTTGAAATCAGTTATTGGTACTAACAAGCATTGTAAAGCATAGTCTATGTAACCTAACAAAATAATGTGTGATTAATAATATGTACACTCTATTTTGGCTATTTAATCATGCTATTTAATCATGCTGCTTAGACAGCAGGCTACTTTGCAGACATAATGATTGTTAAATGATAAGAACATAAGTAATAATGGCACCAATGATAATGGATTTTTGAATTATTATTGAGTTGAGATTTTTTTTAACAAAATAACATCAGACAATGAAAATACACACATATACACAGGTTTTATATAACCCTCTCTTCTAGGTTTTCAGAAATCCTTGAAAACCAGCCTGGGATTGATGTTTGTCATTGTTTATTACCAAAAGATTTGTTGTTCAATCTTTTCTTAAAAACCTCCTATGATGGAGGACCCACTTCTGAAGGCAACCTGTTTCACTGATTAATTGATCTGTCAGGAAATTTTTCCTTAGTTCTCGGCTTCTTCTCTCCTTGATTAGTTTCCATCCATTGCTTCTTGTCCTGCCTCCGGGTACTTTGGAGAATAGTTTGAGCCTTTTTCTTTTGGCAGCCCCTGAGATATTGGAACACTGTCATCATGTTGCCCTTAGCCCTTCTATTCATTAAACTAGGCATACTGATTTCATGTTTCTTACTGTTTTCATGTTTTTTTTAGTTTCTTATGCTTCCTAGAGTCCATTGGAGTTGGGCAGCCAACAAATTTAAATAAATAAATGTCACAGGATATGTTTAACGGTCTGGAAGGTCATCAGAATGAGAGTCATCTTAGAAATTAGGAATTTCCTAACAGTGAAAACTGTTAAAGCGTGGAATAGCTTGCCTACTGAAGTTTTGGGTATACGTAGTATCATTGGAAGTTTTCAAGAATGGAACCAACAACCATTTGTCCATAACCATTTGTCCAGGATGAAATGATGCCTTGGGTGGGGGACAAGACTTCCTAGTCCTTTCCATTCCAACCCTATATTTCTATGACTGAAAAGGACACGGCAGCATTCCATCCCCCACTCCATCTTCAAATTATAAATAAAACACATAGCAATCATCTTTGCAAAGCTTAGTTGGAAATGGAAATGTTTTTGTTTCCAACTAAGCTTTACAGACATCATTTATAGTAAATACTTGTTTCTCCCTTGCTTATGTGTTTCAAAAGTGAGCACATTTTTTGTGAACTACAACTTTCAGTTCTAGTAAATTCTAAATATCTTTTTGTGCACAGATTATGATCTAAGGTTAACACACATGTATACTATTCTAATTCTGTCTTCTCTAATTAGAATTTTAATTCTAAGAATAGAATAAAATAGAATTGGATGGGATGGGATGAGATAGGATGGACAGGACGAAACAGAATAGGCTTTATTGGTCAAGTGTATTTAGACACACAAGGAATTTGTCTCTGCTACAGTAGTTTTCAGTGTACATGCAAAACATCTATCCTGCCCTATCCTATCCTATCCAACACATAAAAGTAATACAGCCATAATACATGAATAAATATACTTTCCAGAAAGTCAGCTCCTTCTTGAAATAGCACCTTTGGGACAACCATGATCTGGGAGTGTTGTGGTTAGCCGGCAGCAGATGCGGATGGTGGAGGAGAGCGAGGACTCAGATGAGGGGCCAGGACCATTAGGAAGTGGACTGCTGCCTTCAGAGATTGTGGGGGCTGGTAGCAGTGATGAGGGGCCTGTGTCAAGTGCGCGTGCATGCAGGATTGATCGTAGGAGAGAGCAGTTACAGCAGCACAGGCGACTTGGGAGTAAGGCTGCAAGGTAGTGGCCCCTCCCTCAAGAGGATAAAAGCCAGGTTTGAAGAAGCATTCTTTGCAGAAGGCAAAGACGCTCTGAGACTCAGCCTCGTGGACATCATAATTAGTATTTGAAAATTCTTGGAAACTAGTTCTTATCTCTGGGTTTTTGGCAGCCTTGACAAACAACTTGGCAAGGCTCTTTCTTGTCTGAGCTAATTAGTTGGAAGCAGCCTTTTATCTGTGAAGAAACAGAATTCATGGATTAAACCTTAAAAGGTGGGGGCTGCTGCCTTTGTCTTGTGTTTGCTCTTTTGGAACCAGGTTGGGTCAGAACAGGGAGTCTCTATAGACATTTATTCAGCACAGTGATCGCAGGAGGAAAAAAAAACTATCTCTGTTTCTAGTTGTTTTGGCATGCAATGCCCTGTATTGGCACCCTGAGGGGAGAAGTTGAAACAGTTTTTGTCCAAGATGTGTAGTCTTCTCAGCCCTCTTTCTGACCCATGCTGTATACAGGTCCTCAATGGAAGGCAGGCTGGTTGCAACCATTTTTTCTGCAGTCCTAACTATCCATTGAAGTCTGCACCTGTCCTTTTTAGTAATAGTATCAAATCAGACAATTATACAAGTGACAGGCTTGATAATTTCTCTGTATTGAGTTTGGGTGTTTGATATGATTTTCCCAAACTTCACCTGTTCCTTTCTATCTGTCAGAAAGCTTATAATCTACCTACAGATATAAGCTTTGATGGTAGTAGAGCATTTAAAACAAGAAGGAACATAACACATCTCCAGTGATTTGTTAAAGATCAGGTGAAGACAGGAGGCATTTGATCAGCACAGACTTTCAAGCAAGAAGGAGTTATTCCACCTGGGCCTGGTGCTTTTCCGATTTTTTGTCTATGAAATAGACGTTGCACATCTTTTTCTAGGATCACCAGAAGCGAGGGACCCAAAGGATGGAGATAGGAGAAAAAGATATGGCTATGGTGTATCTGAGTGTATATGGTGTATCTGAGATGGGGAAGGTAGCGATAATTGACAGCAATCTACTCTCAAATCTATAGTAGAACACATTCAGGTCATCTGCCAGTTGCCAATTCTCTTCAGTAAGATCTTCAGATCTGCTGTAGCCAATAATATTTTTCAGACTTTTCCACACATTTGCTGGTTCATTTGCTGAGAACTGATTGAACTAGAGTAGCTTCAGAGTAGCTTTTCTTTGCTGCCCTGATTTCCCTTGTTAATATATTCCTGGCCTGACTATACATCATGTTATCTCCATTCCTGTAGGCCAGCGGCTTCTAACTTTTGAGCACCTGGGACCAGTTCTGTGGAGATAGGTTTTTCCATGGACCGGAGAAGGCATAGTTTCACATGCCGCCTGAATCCTGTGGATGAGGCTTCACTTGTTTGCATGGCCCACTTTCTGACATGCCATGGACTGATGCTGGCCCACGGACTGAGGATTGGGGACCCCTGCTGTAGGCTACCTCTTTGACACAACGTACCTGCTTGAGCTTAGAGGGGGGGGGGGGTAAATCCCACCCACCCCTTTGCTGGTAAAATGTGCACGTGCGCATTCCCTCCTCCCGGCCTCTTCCCTAGCGAGGTGCTCTAGAAGCTTCTTGGATGAGAAGCAAAACATCTTCAAAAAAAAACTAAGAAAGTCCAGTTGTCTCCTGAAAAAAGCACCTTTGGTCGCAAGTCAAGGACCACCTATAGCCAAAGCAACGGGCCGTACAATCGTTAACCAGCCTGTCGTTTTTGCACCCTTCTTATTTGACATTGAACAGGAAATCCCTCTTCCGGTCAGGACGACGACCGGACCGAAAAGCGCAAAGCTCATCCGATTTATTGGCCTGCAAAAGCGAGATCATTCTCTCTCTCTCTCTCTCTCTCTCTCACTCGCCCACGCTTCTCTTCGCCGACCAACCCGCTTTGAAGCACCTCGCTAGGGAAGAGGCCGGGAGGAGGGAATGCGCACGCGCACATTCTACCGGCAAGGGGGGGTGTTGGGATTTACCCCCCCTCTCTTTTTTGGGGGGGTTGTTGTTTCCTCCCTCCGCAGTATTATGAGGTCAGCGCGCAGGGGGCGGCGTGCCCTATGACGTCACCCTCCGTACCTCCCCGCTTCCTCCAATCCAGACCTATGGAAGGAGCGGAGCAAAGGTAGAGAAGCAGCCGTTGGTTTCTTCTCCTACGAAAAGGGGGAGTGGAGGGAGAGTGCGGCGGGGGTGGGGAGAGAGGCTGGCGGCGGAAGGGAAAGAAGGAAAGACCCGGATGCCGCCGCCGCCGCCGCCGCCGCCGCGAAAGAGACTGGGGGGGGGTCAGAGAAGGAGGGAGTTGTGCGCGCGGCGGCAGCGGCTTTTCGCCTCGCCGGCTGAGGGCGGAGCGGGGAGGGGAAGGCAGCGCCGAGTTTGGCGTCCTGACTTGAGCGCGGGGTGGGGAAGGGGGGGCGGTGGTTTTCCGCAGGTCGTCGTCGTCGTCGTCGTCAAGATGGAGGAGGCGGGGATGGCCTGGCCGCTGCCGGATACGGCGTAAAAAGGTGGGCTGTCGGGGGGAAACCGGCGCGTTTGGTCGAGGCAGCGAAGGGCGCCCGAGGCGAGGCGATGCTGTCGGTCTATGGCATATTGCTGTCAGCTCTGCTGGGCTCCTTCCTCACGCTGCTCGCCCAGCTCCTGCTCTTTTTCCGGAGGCAGCCCGAAGCCGTCACCGGGGTGTCCCGGCTTCGCAGCTCCCACTTCTTTGTTACCAGGGTAATGCCGGACTCGACCCTCAAGGAGTATTTAACCGGCATCCTCATCTTGGGGCAGGAAGCGTTTTTCCCCGGATCTTTAGTCGGCCAGCCTTCTTCCAAAAGCGAGCAAAGCCTCAAGGCCCCCGGCCAGGAATCGCCCCCTTTGGTGGAGTGCACGGAGGAGACCCTCTACTGGCTCAATGCCATCTGCCTCTTTCTCTTCAGGGAACTCAAGGACACCTCCTTGATCCGCCACTGGGTCACCAGGAAAATCAAGGTGGAATTCGAGGAGCTTTTGCAGACCAAGGTGACTGGCAAAGTGTTGGAGGGGCTCAGCTTGCGGGATGTCTCCTTTGGCAACGTCATCCCCCTCTTTAAAAACATCAAGATATTGCGGCCGGTGACCTGTAATGAGGAAGGCTGTCCAGAAGAGCTGGACTTTGAAGTTGACCTGGAGTATGATGGGGGCTTCCACTTAGCCATTGATGCGGACCTGGTTTTTGGCAAGTCAGCGTATCTGTTCGCCAAAATCTCTAAAATTGTGGGTCGGGTGAGGCTGGTCTTCACCCGTATACCCTTCACGCACTGGTCCTTTGCTTTTGTCGAGGAGCCTTTGATCGACCTTGAGGTCAAGTCGCAGTTTGAAGGAAGACCCTTGCCCCAACTGACTTCCATCATTGTCAATCAGTTCAAGAAAGTGATCAAGCGCAAGCATACCTTACCTCACTATAAAATCAGGTAAGTTGTTTCGGGATGAGGAGGTCGAGTTAATGTCATGCTTGTATAAAATGGGTGGGAATGGAAGAAGAATATACTTCAGTTGGGGTATTAATCTGAAGAAATTGGTTAGGACAGTGCGAAGTATAACAGAAATGTCTTCTGGAAGAGTGATAAATGAAGAAATTGAACAAACTTGGCTATCAATGTATATTCACCGCAAGCCATGGACGTTTCCTGAAGAAAGCTCAAATCTCATATTATTATAGAGGATGCTTAATTTTTTATACCCACATTACGCATTACACTACTCCCTTTCTTGGGAAACAGAATTAGGAAGGGATAATAAAAGGAGTGAGGAACAATAAGCCAAAGAAATTAATGCATTAATTAAAAAATGTACTGTACCTAAATCTAGTTTTCACCATACTAATAATTGGGCTTTTCTGTACATCTCTGCTTGGCAAAGCCTTATTTCACTCGATAATCCTTGCATTTTGTTTTTTGTTTTTAATTATATACAAGGTAGTCCTCAGCTTACGACAATTGAGACCAAAATTTATGTTGCTAAGTGAGACATGTGCTAAGTGAGGTTTGCCCATTTTATGACCTTGTCCCAGTTAAGTGAATCGCTGCAGTTAAGTTCGTAACACGATTGTTAAGTGGACTTGGGTTGCCTCATTGACTTTGCTTGTGAGAAGGTTACAAAAGGTGATCACAGAACACTGGACACTGTAACTGTCATAAATAGTTGCTGAGCATCTGAATTTTGATCATGTGACCATGGGGACACTATAATGGTTGTAAATGTGAAAAAACAATCATTTTTTCAGTGCCATTGTGACTCTTCTAATTTCATATGGTCATAATAAATGAACTGTAAGTCAAGGATTGTTTTTCAGAATTTCCGCAACTCTATACAAGTACAACTTTCATAGTCTTTTTCTTGATTAATTTACTCTTCCTTCATAAATTTGTTTTGAAATGTTATCTTTATTCCTTCCCTTCACATCAACAAAATACATCAAAGTTATCAATTCATATTGGTCACTGTTATCAGATTCCTGCCTTGAGCAGAGGATTGGACTAGATGTCTAAGGTCCCTTCCACACCCTTGGTTCTATATTCACCCCACATTTATACATCATCCGCCCATTCAGCTGAGAACGATAGCATTTATTTCACTTAATCTGTGAGCTTTGGCAAAGGCAGGATGAGGCTTGTGTGACCATCTGGTTCTCCTTCGTATTGATTATGAAGTTTTTCTGGATTGCTAGAGAACTTGGGAATGGACGTGCAGTGTTTCAGTGGTTTTCCTTCTTTTTACGTAGCTGGTTTTTACATATGCTCTGTCTTTGTGGGGTGCCTCAGCACTTGACTCTCTTGCCTCCTGTTTAACATTTTTGTGAACCAGCTGGGTAGTGTCATTTGTTGAAACATCAGTATGATGATAGACAGCTTAGCCTTGGTTGAGTGAGTAATGAGGTTGAGATTTTGTGCCTAAAGATTATTGGAGCCTGGATGGGGTAGCTACCCCAATAGCTATGGTTCCTGGTTCTTTAAATGCCAGACTTTCTCCATTTAAATAATGTTTCACTTCCCTAGACAGAATTGGTATACTATTCTGGGTTCTCAAAGAGCAGGTGACAGTTGTGATCTGGAAGTTAAGCTGGTGCACCAATTATACTCTTTTATGGACTGAATATCTTCTCGCAGTTATTTATGTCTCAGTCATCTTACCTGGATTGTGGATTGTTGCAATGGGCCTCCTGGGAGACCATTCAGAAGCTAAAATTGGTCCAGAATGCAGCAACACAAACAATTATGGACAAACTTCAGTATAATCATGCAATACTGCTAGTGAGCATTCAGATAAAATTCAAAGTATAAAACCTTAATGCAATAAGGTGTGGCTTTCTGAGGAACCATCTCTCTCCCATGCTCTTTACCTGTCCTGTAACATCTGGCACAGTGATGTATTTCCCATCCATTAACCATGTTATTGTCTTTGGAATAGCACTTCCTGGAGGTTTGAACTAAACTGGGTGTTCAATTTAAACAATTTTAAAAAACCCTCCCCACCAGGTCTGGGTTAGTTCAGGGATCCAAGTCTTTTTCTGTTTCAGTTAATGTTGCATGCTTGTTTCTGTTATGCTTGTTATCTTTTGCTTGATTTTAGATCATGTGCTTGGTTGTTTTTACTTGTACACTATCCACAGTCAGCATTCAATTGGATATAAATAAAATCAGTATATAAAATAGGCAGCTCTCTCACATGATGGACTTATGGATCTGAAGTATTACTTTAAGAACCTTGTACTAATATTAAGAAAGGGTTAAATCTTCAGTATAAAGTCTGACTAGTGTCACAGTGGCTACCTTGAAAAGTGCTAGGAGAAGTTTGATCTCTTGTCTTATACGTGACATTGAACTGTGGCATACTACTTTTAGCAACCTAAATCTTACTGCTCAGAATGCTGTTTCTGGGTTGCTGCACGTGCATTTTGAAATAACCTTCCCCCACAAATTTGATCTGCCCCCTTTGGCTTTCCATAAGTCAACATCAGCTGGGAAATAATTTTGATTTTGCAGATCCTTGAAAGGGTCTTGTGGACCTCCAGGGGTCCTACAACCACACTTTTAAAAACACTGCTGTAAACTATTAAAAACTGAGCTTTTTCAGAAAGCTTTATTTGTTCTTGTTTTATTATTTGTTATTGATAGATGTAAACAAATAGTCTCTTTGAATGAAGGTGGGAGGATATAGCCAATAAATACACGCATCTCTGAAAAAAACCCATAAAACTCATGAGTTACTGATGTCGCTTTGACAAAAGTAAAGCTTACTTTTCATCCCTCTATGGTGGGAGTTCTTTTCTGTATGCAGTTATAGATTGCTAGACAAGTTAAAAAGAGTTTGTAACACTCTTGAGCAAGAAAAGGTTTTAGAATATTACATTTTAATTGGACCAGTGTAAAATTTTCTATTTTTGAATCAGAACTAACATAGCAAAGTTAGCATTTGTCTTCGCTCTAATATGTTTGCACATGTCTTGTGAATTCTTTTCATTATGTTAAAAGTATTCCTGCATTTTTCTTCTTCTAAAGATGGATGCTTTAACCCAGAATGAGATATTGTATTTTCAAACCTGATTAATCCTCACTTGAACAGCATTTGTGGTGATTGCACAATTTCAATAAATACAAGGAAGTCCTCTTCTAATAATAGATATGTAGGTTTTACAAATATTCTATGTGTACGTAAAAGAGGAAGAAAACCTGCTTGATTAATTATAGACAATTATTTATTTCTCATACAAATCTATATGGCTGCCCAACTCATGAACAGATGGCTAATATTAAAAGTCTACTCCTTCCTCCAAGTTATGCTCCTTATTCCTTTCCCTTAGAAGATCAGGCAGCCAGGCATAAAAGCAGGATGGTTTCATGGCTGACCTAATCCTATGGAACAGATTCCCCCTCCCCAGATTAAAATTTCTCTCTTCCTAATATCTTTCAGAAGGAGATTAAGACCATGCACTAGATATTTTGGTGCCTAAGGGATTGGTTATGAATACTGTACATATACTGTACTATAGCGTATTGTTGGTTTAAAGCTTTTATGATTCATTAATTGAGCTGCCTGTCATACAAATGTTCTTAAGTAAGTGGGACTGGATAACATCTAGGTTTTCTGAGTAGAAGATTTTTACAGTAGTACAATAACAACTGAAAACTAGAATACATTAAAGAACATATTAAAGTGGGAAACTTGTCATACTCCAGTTGTTGAATTACAATGTTCCAGACTCATGCTAGGCATGAATGATGATGAGGGGAATAATAGAAGCTGTAGTTTAGTAACATCTGCAGAATGACCTGTTCTGAATCTCTGCATTTAAGAACAGTTATGTGTAATAAATGCATGGGAGAGGGAATAGGTAGTCCCTCTACAAATTAATAAAAGAAAATTGGGAGTTACTTCATTTTAATTAAGTTTGTTTTAATCAATAAATGTATTTTAGCAACTTAAATGCCACATCAGTTATCAGAGTAATTCTCGGTAGCTTATATATTTGGGCTAAAATAATAGCATAAAATAATAAGCATAGCGACCAACTAGCCTTAAGAACAGTGTAGCTCTGGAGAAAAGTCATCACAATCAAATACTAAAATATGCTACCAGATCAGCCCACAGTACCTCACAGTAGGTTTTGCAAAGGTTCGGCAGAGTCAGGCTTTAAAGACTTCAGGGAAAATGCTATGCCAAGTATTTGCTATAAGGCAGATAGAGCTACAGTGATGCTGTGTGTCTGCAGGGTCCTTGGTGTTCTCCAAGCTTGGTTGTTTTCTTGCAAACATTCATTACCAAATGAGGTAACATCATTAGTGCTAGTAGGGAGTGAGGTTTGCTCTCATTTTATAGAATAAGAGATGGTGGGCCTCTTAAATGGCAATGCTTTAAAGCTAGGACTTAGAGCTTGCCATCTGTACTGTACCAAAACTTACTGTTTTGAGAGATGAATTAGGGGAAAGATGGTTTTAAAGTTAACTAGGTCCTAAAGAGGTTGAAGGTGATAATCAACGCTTTGAATTGCACTTGGACATTAATGTAACTTGTGCAGCTTGCAGAATAGAGGTGTTACATTGGTGAAGTAGGAAATGCCTATAAGTGCTCATGGAGCTCCCCCAAAATGCTTTTTTTTCAAGAGGCAACTGGACTTTCTGGTTTTTCTTTGAAGGCGTTTCGTTTCATATCCAAGAAGCTTCTTCATCTCAGAAGAAAGTCAGTGACCAGAAAACCAGAAAGTCCAGTTGCCTCTTGGGGAAAGAAAGCACCTGTGGGACAACCATGACCTGGATGCATGAGAATCTCCATAGACATTTGCTCATGGAATCAGTGCTCTGGATTCAGTTGTAGCCAATTATCTGGGTAATTTTTGTTATACTGGATTTACAAAGAGGCTTGTTAAAGCTTTGAAGAATCTTATCAAAAGAAATCAAGTTCTACATTATTTGATTGACTAAAGGTTAAGATTATTTTTAAAAAGGAAGAAATATAAGGGTTATCAAGGTTAAAATAAGGTATGTTATATTGTTAATAGACTTTCAGCTGATACCGGGACTGAAAAGATTATGCAGGTAATCCTCAATTTACAACCACAATTGACACTGGAACTTTCATCACTAAGCAATGTGGTTGTTAAATGAGTTGGACCAGATTTTTTTTTGCTGCAGTCATTAAACAATTCACTGCAGTCATTAAGCAAACCCAGTTTCTTCCATTGACTTTACTTGTCAGAAGCACCCCTGGAAAGATCACAACTGGCAAATATGTGACCTTGAGATGCTGCAGCCATTGTTAAATGCTGGTTGCCACAGCTTCCAAATTTTGATCATGTCACTGCAGGGCTGCTGTAACAGTCATATGTGCATATGTGTCATAACTCGCTTTTTTAAGATCCATGTTAACTTGGAATGGTTCTTAAATGAATGGGTCATAAATGAAGGACTACCAGTAGATAAGAGATGGGATATGGGATGAATTGGTTGCAAACTAAAAGGGAGTGAAGAGTTACTAAAATTATTTATCCTTGTTGTGAACATTGGGAGTCATTTCTTTATATATATTTTTCTTTCTGTTTTCTACTCTCTTGTTTTTGTTTGTACCTTTCATTTTTTCTATTCTTTTAATTTAAATTAGATTTTACTATTGTAATTAAAATCCTTAATAAAATTATATTTTAAAAAGTTTGTATGTATATATCCTCAGTGTATCAAGTTAGATGTTCATTTTATGCCCATTTTTGTATGCACTTTAAATGTTAACCAATAATTTATGTTTTTGTATATAATTATTCCTTTTTTTCTGCATAACATCCTCATAGATGCTACTTCCTTATAGATGCTACTTTTCTTACACTTATGACAGATGACATTGAATTCTGTTACTATCTATTTATTTTACATTCCTAAAACTCTGCAGCACTTCTGTGTATGTGTGTTTAGAAGGAAGGGTCGCTACATGGATTCAGAACATTTATAATCGTGATATGAGAATGAGATCTTGTAGTCCTCATAATTACTTGATCAGAACAGTTTCTTTTTAATTATCTGTTAGAACAGGTATTAATGTACCTGATAATCTGATGTGACGCACAATTGGCAAACCTATTTGTTATTTCAGTTAACATTATTTGAATATGCATATATTCTTTGGTGGATATAGGATGTTCTTAAGTTTTGCCTAAAGAATACTATTTTTATTTCCAGTGTACATGTGACTTATGGAAAGGGCATGGAGAATTCTAGAGTTGTGATGCTGAGTCTTTAAAACAAATCTTCATTGAAAAAAACAAATAACTCTTTTGAGAATTAGTTGGAACTTTATTTTACAGTTTCAGTAAACTGATTATATGCTAACAAATAGTAATGCAAATAGGGAAATTTCTTATAGTACAGTAAACACGTAGAATATAATTGTCTGCATATACAATTTATTTATAATGCAAATATATAATTTATTACCATCTATCGGATTCTCAACATGATATTAACTCTCAAAACCATCATCTCTCTAAGATTTCACTAAGGAAATTTAGCATGGTTATCAGGGTGTTTTTGTATATTTTGTAAATGATTTTTCTTTTTTCTCTTTCATTTCCTATGGTATATTTTACCCAAGCAAAACAGGACCAAATTCTCATAGGGCTCTGATTTTGATTGGGTAAGGGTGATGGCCAGGGAATACTGGCACATAAGCCTGTTCCTTATCCAATTTGGCATGCAGGAATTGTAAGGCTGTGCCACTCTGGTGTGAGCAGTCGTTGACCCTCAGGCTAGCGTGAGTGAGCATAAAAGGGTAACTTCCCATTTTTGCTTTTGCCTTGGGGAAACGTTATATAGAACAGCATTGTGGTAAATATGTAATTACATATTTTCTCATACATGTGGATATACATGTTTTGGTCTGCATGAGGTGTTGGCATTGTGTTGCAAAGCAGTGGCAGTGTCTGACTTAAATTAGGATAGTGACATGCAACTTTCTTATTGTTAAGGAACCTAAGAACTCTATTTACCACTGGACAGATTCTGTTTTCTAGATATGCAAAGTATGATATTGTCTTATTAAGAAGAACATTTGCAAGGTAAATTAGCAATTTGGAAAATTATCTTCATAATTTCTCTAAAAGGTAAAACGTACTTGGTAATTACTAAACTCTACCTAGGACGAACTAGGCAATCCTTATGCAAAAGAATAATGGAATACAAAAGCAAAAATGGAAATAATTTAACCCATAAGGGAACATTTTGATTTTTCACAACATTGTATAATCACAGTCCTTAAAGTGCTGGGATTACTGTTGTTGAGCAAAGCAGTCACGTGATGTCTTATTTAATGGCCACCTTACTCAATTACTGAGTACTTATACTGCTAATGTAAAAATCACTACTGAAAATGTGCCAAGAAAACTGCTGGGACTTGTCTAGGCAGTCACAAGAAGTCAAGATTCATTTGAAGACACGCCCTTTAAAAAAAAAACATATAAAAACACCCAGCTAGTGGCAGCATCTAACATTGATTATCAAAAAAGCCAGGTTGGACTTGGGTAATACTTGGCTGGCATTGTGCAGGAAAAAATTCTCCATAATTATGATCATCTATATACCCTCATCATATGAAACACAAATTATTGTTATGGCACCAGAGGCTACAGAAGCAAACCTAAAAAGAGTGAGAACGAAACCCTCTGCATAGAGTTTACATTAGAATATATTTACAATTGTATACAGCAAAGTAATTGTTTGGATATAGCAAGATATACTGGGTTTAGAGAGGTCAAATGAGATGGAGTCTATGAAGTAGAAGGATAAAAACAGTGTTATGGTAATTTTGAAAAAGATAGTATTCTCATGATTTCTTTCTAGATGGTTACTTTTATGGCTTTATCTGTACTGCCCTTGCTTCCTAGAACCTATGTTTATGTCCTAATATTTTATGCCGACAGGGTTTATTACTTCTCAAGTACCTGGGAAGATAATTTTGGAAGTGCGGTGTTAGCTTCTCCTAAATAACACCTTATTTTCTCCTACAATAGCACCATGAACATCTTGGGGAATACAATGCGGAAACATTTCCATGTCCATTAAGTCATCAGGAGTAATATTCAACTTAAAGGAGACTTTAACATGAAAATGATATTAATTGTAGAAATCAGGCACCCTCGTAGTGAGTAACCTGAAATAATTTGGCCTTCCGAAACCAGTGCGTGAAACAAAATTCAATCAGTTATTTGTACAATTCTTTTTAAAATTAGAATATAATTAAATTCAGTAGTGTTGGCAAGATCTTGCTCCTTTCATCAGAATGAAGAAAATATGTTGTGCCATCATGCAACAATCATTATCCTTTTGGGCATGTATTTGTTTAAAAAGGGTAAAACTTGAATTGCAATACTGCTTTTGTCAGTATGATATATCCTGCCTGCTCCTGTGGAGGTTACCATTTAAGTTTTCCATATTTTTCACTTATGGATTTACCATAAGTGTTATAGAGTACATGTTCTTGAATAAATGTTTATAACTTCCTATCATAAAAGTAAACACATGGATATTTTTTCAAGTCTTTTGGGAAATAAAACTTTCAATGTGATCACAAATAGTACTACTGGGAAATGTGAAATAATTTCAAGCACTTTCGGATGCAACAACTGCAATACATACTCCATACCTGGCCATGATGATAGTGATTATTTGATTTCTAGGGCTATATATAGTTTCTGTCAAAATCTTGTGGCAACAGAATGAATTGCTATAATCACAGTTCTAAATAAATAATATGTGCTTATCTTTTGATTAGGTTCAAACCATTTTTTCCATTTCAAGTTGTGCCACCTGAAGAATATAGAGACCAGAGCCTCAGTATACAAGGTTTCTCACTAACGGAAGGAAGACTGAAAGTTTCTTTAATAGAATGCTCAAGGTATGTTCTTGGCACTTCTTGTGATACTGATTTTATTTGTATCTTAAAGTCAAGTGACTGGGTAAGCAGGATTAAGAAAGAGTTAAGGTTAGAATCACGATTCTTCAAGTTAAGGATTTGTATCCCAGTTTATTTTAGTGTAAAAGTTTTCATTAGCAAACAGGACAGAGTTCCTGTGATAGTTATACTTTAGATAAGAGAGAACACTGAAGATTTAGGTGCATTTGAGCAGTAGGCAGAAATGAACAGAATAAAATTTCACAAGGAATAATGTAAAGTTCAGCATCTAGGTAGGAAATATGTATAGCACAAATATTGACTGGTGATACCTGGTTTGGCAGTACCATAGTGTATGGGAAAAGAAACTGGGTGTCTTCGTCACCTACCTGTTAAACACAAACTAGCAGTGTGTTGCAGCTCAAAAAAGACTGATGCTGCTTTGGGTATATTAACCTCAAAGCACAGAGCTCATTTAAGAGATCAGAGTTGCTCCATCTGTCCAGTTCTGGGCACCACAGTTCAAAAAGCATAGTGAGAAAACGGACCAAGTTCAAGAAGAGCCAGTAAGATAATGAAAGCTTTGGACACCTATCTTTATGAGAAATTTTTAAAGGATCTGCACATAAAATTCAAGCGAGTGGAGCTATGATAACAGTATCAAATATCTGAATGGTTGTCATAGAAAAGGGTGTGGATGTATTATCTGTGCCCCAGAGAGCAAAGAAAAAACCAAAAGTTAAAAAAGTACAAGGAAGTTCACTATAATCATCGTGACTAATTTCCTGGTAGTACAAACTGTCAACCTGTGAAACAGGCTGCCATATGATGTAGAGAGTTTGAAGATTAAAAACAGCTGAACATATCTTTGAGGATTCTATAATGGATCAACTCTGGAGCTAAGATAGTCCATGGTAGATATAATGCTATGTCCTGTGTTTTAGCCGAGGACTGATACCAATATGTATGAATTTCTCAGAAAAATGATAGAATATTAACCTGGCAGTAAACAAATATAACAAAACTAAAATAAGACATTGGTCACATCTCCTTTAAGCCAGATAGATTCTCAGTGCGGCCTGCAAAACAATAAGTCAAAGCTGAAAATCATAAAGGAGAGAAAGGAAAAGAAAACAAGAATGTTTGAGAAATAATATACAATTTATTACTGATATTAGAATGACCAGCTAGAATGCAAAAATAATTCAGTAATAACTATAAAATAACCAGAAGCTGCTGCTCTTATCAAAACCAATTGCCATGGGAAAGGGCTAAGAGAAGAAGATTTCACATTTCTGGTCTCTTTAGTAGCTGAAGTAATGGTATAGTTCTGCTTCCTGTTTTTCCCTCTGATATAACTTGGTGGAATTACTGCTGAGTCATCATTAGTGGGAAAGTAACAGTTGATAATGGTAGTAAACAGTCCTGTTTAAGCAGGATATGAGGGTGATAGGCAAGACAGAGACTTTTCTCTCTTTGTCAAAATGATGTATCTTGAGCTAACTTATCAGATGCAAGATAAAAAGCTCAGGAAACTGAAGAACAACTGCATGTACTTTGGGTAGTGATAGCTAAGAATGCAAATGATTTGCAAGCTCTAGTAATGAAAGTCAAGGAACACAATGAAAAAATAGTGATTAAAGTAAACCAAGGAAGACCAAACTAATGAAAGCAGGTGCAACAACCAACTTTAGAGCTGTCAGTGAAAATATTGGAACAGTGGATAACTTCTGCCTTTTAGAATCAGCTGTCACATTAAAAAGTACCTGGCAATTAACTTGATGCAAATTAACACTTGGTAAAATAGGAAGAAGAAGAAGGGAATATTTTGGATAGCCAAGATAACAAACCAAGGGATCATCAAACAAATCAACTCAGAGTTCTTACCTGAGGCAACAGTAACCAGGTTCAAATTATTCTACTTTGAATATGAAGGTTTAATATGAAGACCTAAGTCTCTGGAGAAGTGTCCTATCACTGGAAAAGTGGAAGGAAAGAGAACAACCTCTCAGGGGATAGATGGTCAGTTTACACTAGCCATAGGTGTTCGTTCCATTGGAAGAAATGTAGAACTAGATTAGAGACAAATCATCATGGAGAAAGTCTGTCTTTGTAGTCACTGAGTCAATACTGACTTGATAGCACATAAGTAATCAAACCTGTTGGTTAATACAGAAAAACTAGCCAACACAGACATGTTTTAAATTTTCTTATATATAATTCAGAAAAAGTAATAGAGAAGACCAGTAAGACTTCCTTGATCTGTAATCTAATCTATTTTTCTTATTTTATTTGGCAGTTAAGCTATTGAATAACAGTTGACTAGAACTACAAATATTCCTATAAAATGCAGAATCTTCACACACAAGCTATACTGAATATATATTAAAATTTAAAAGGCTACTCCAATTAGGTGACAGGTACATTTCATAATGCACATATTTTCAGAAAGTACTTAAAAATTATGGTGACAGATACCTGTTTGTCCTGTCAGAAAAGAATATTTTCCCTTTAGAATAATTTCACTAATATATATTTAATTAAAATTAGCTTTCAGTCACAGTTTTTATGATTACTTACTTTGCAAAGATGTGCTGTTCACACTTGTTACTTATTTCAGTGCATATATTACTTACTGTATATGAAAAATGTTAAAATTGTGTCTTTGCTTTCATTTGCTACCTGTTTCCACTAGAGGGTGCAAATTCTTTTTTTAACTTCTGGTATCCTGAAATAGCAATATATTGCTAAAGAAAATATAGCAGCTGTAAGCAATTAATGATAATCTAATAATTATATCTTTGAATTTCAGATTATTTATTTTTGGATCCTATGAGAGAGAAGTAAATATTCACTGCACAATTGAATTGAGTGACAAAGTTTGGGAAGACAAAGAAAGGACTTTCATCAAGACAGTAAGCCATATTTTCCACAATTTCAGTTTCATACAGCTGCGATATTTGGTATATTGTATGTAATATACCTAATATACCATATAATATGTAACATACTATATTTCATACATAATCTTACAATATGAACTTTAAACGTTTCCAGTATAAATTTTGGCTCATTATCTCATGGACCAGTCACTTCCTAGAAAGAAGATTTCTTATATTCTTTCTGTACATTTAGGTACCTATTATGTACCTATTGGAATCAGAGTCAACTATTGTCTCTCAGCCCAGCCTACCTCACAGGGTTGCTATGGAGAAAGTAGGAGGAGAGAACATTAGGTATGCTGCCTTGATGTAAAAAAAATAAAGGTGTGGTATAAATTAAATTACTTTACTTGAACAATGGGCAGTATCCCGGTGTGGGGATGAGGAAAGCAGTGGTTTTCCGTTATGTTCAGTGGCTGTTCCAAACTTTCTTAGGGTTGTTGTTTTTTTTGTATATACGTTTTATAATTTACAACTTATTTTTGTCTTCACTGTGATCCCAATCTTTGAGAATGTTTTTCTTCTTAGTTACTACCACTGATGGCATAAGATTGGCAATATTCACTCTGAGAGTAGGATGGGTGGTACCTAAATGTTAGAAATAAATAAAGGCATAACACTCTTTCTTTTTGAGAAGCATAACTTGATGTAGCATTTTCTTTTCCTCGGCCCATGTAATAATTGCATACTTTTGAACAGTAGGTGGCAGTATTGCTATTTTTAATGCATTATTGAATTAGTGGAAGGTAAGATTATATTTTTAAACTTATTCTTAGTATATATTCCACAATATCACTGCACTTGACAGAAAACACCAATTGGATCCCCTATTTTATCCTGTCACTTAGCTGAGATTTATGTTCATATAAGCAAAATTAAGTAAGTAATTTAAATTGGATACCTATTGTATGACAAACAAGGTTTTTAAGAGGAAGCCTTAATGTTGCCATCACTTTCACTGGGACAAGGAATATTGAACTGGTCATGAGTTGAAACCCCAGTTGTATCAAAGATGTCTGTTCTTGATTCTTCTCCCCTTTTTAGATTTACATGAATAATTAACTTTCAGGTGATTCCTACTTAATCTCAGAAAGATCAATTTGGAGCAAGGTTCTTAAACTATTCTCATCAGAGAAAGGTTTTTTTTTCCTTCATAACCTTTTTGATATGCTCCCCATACACTGTAAATATCTGATACTTTTGCAAATAAACCTTCTGAAGGAATAAAAGGAGAATGGTGATTCTCTTATGCTAAAGGGCATTCAGACATATTTCCTACATGATCCAAACTAAACTATAAGTCCTTTTTCAGAAATGTGTATTTGATTATTCTAAAGTGAACAACTTTATCATGTTAAAAATAATGCAAACATCAAATATGGCTTTTAGAATGTTAAACCTTGCCCAAAGCATTTATTTCTCTCTCCAAGGTGAATGGTCCTTTAATCACATTTCTGCAATTAGAAAATTGTGCAATGAATCATGTAGAAATCATAATGATTGCCACCTGGAATCTATTTTAAAACAACATTTTATACTGCTGCAAAGCTTATGTCGCTTTCTTCATCCTTGTAAGATGGCATCTTAGAGTCCAACAATACAACTCCCAAAAAGTGTTCAGTGGAAATTATTTCTTGCACAGGGCTTTGATGGTCAGTGCAGGATTTAAAAATAATTCAACTGATATTATACAGTAGGATTGAAAGCATTGACACTGCAAAGCACTTAAGGTCAACATTTTGGAAAAAATAAATTTTGTTTTCCATACTTCCAGGCTTCACTGGGCATTTATCCTTGCTTTGGCCAGTAACTGGATTAAGAAATTTCAGAAATCAGTTTTTCTTTACACTCAACAGTTATTATTAACCCTTGAAATTGTAGTAGGGAGTACTTCCTTAAAAGGGAATCATTAAACCAGACGCCAGGACATATTACATTGAAGAATAAATTGCTTTATTGACACAAGAGGAGGCAAAGATCAGCCTAAAGAAGGGAAGAGTTACAGTCTCCTTTTGTAGATTTTACAGACAATAGAATGCATGTGATTGGCTAGAGCAGCCAAACATTTCATTGGATATAAATACATCATGTGCCTGATGAGGTCACTGAGATCATTAGAGTATGAGGTAATGGAGCAGTACTAAGACAATGGAATTTTGAAAAAACAACGAAGCAGTTATTGCATGAATGGAGTTTCTTTCTAAGGCAATACTTCCTTTTGCTTTGCCAGAGCTCTGTTCTCTCCTCAGTAACTTTTCCCGGGTTATCAGCATTCCTTTTACTTCTGAAAATCTTACATTGTAGCATAATACCTTTAGTTAAAAATTCTTGGTAAATCTATTTATTGGGTAAATTGAGACTTTCATAATATTCCTTAGGATCAATTCAGTCTTGAGATTTTTGTTTGAAAACATTTTGTAAAATTAAAAATGAATTCTATTTATTTCCAGAATAATTTTTAGAAGTTTATTTAATACAAGCATTTCTAATTAGTTCTATTTTTCCATATCCCCTTGATATTTCTGATATTCTATGACTGGATGTTATTATAGAGCACAGATATCAAACTCGATTGCGTAATGTGACATATTGCGATGTTTTTGCCTTTGTGGAGCTGTGGTGGGCATGGCCTGTACGTGACACATCTGGCCCTTGAGCCGCCAGTTTGACAGGCCTGGTATAGAGGAACAGACTGGCTTCTATGCAAGTATTTTTTTGTTAAAGAAATTGAAGGACATTAATACTTTTTTATTTTACCTCTGGAGTAATAAGTTTGAATGTCCTATTCTGATAAAAGAATGGAAGGTTGCTTTAAATAACATGAAATTAATTTCCTATGGTCTGAAAATGAGATTAAACAAAAGCATGTTTCATGTACGTTGGGTACCTTTGTGAATATTCGTTTAATAATATTGGTTGTTATCACCAAGATAGAGCTTGAAAATTAACTCATGGTTTGGATGTTCTATTATTGCCACATATGGGGGTGATATCAGTAAGATTGTTAATAAGCCTGAGTATGATCCTCTTGGCTATGTCTCTAATATTTGAAATCTGTCAAGAACTGGAATTTTCAGACATAGAGGCTGGCTAAGGAGTTATATAATATAGAACTCCCCACTAAATTACAGTGATAGATTGTTAATTCATTGTTTGAATTAGTTTTGTATGCTTTTTATTTTTCTGTATTATAATTTTTTTTTTCTTCTCCTCTTATGTTTATTTTAAGACTACATTATATTGTTAACATCATTATAATTCAAAATATGTTAATTAGTTCAATTTTTTTTAAAAAAAAATGAAAATTAAGGGGGGAAATTCCAAGAAAGAAAATGGTAGATGAAAGTAATTCTGGATGTTAGGTTAGAACTTACTCTTCAAATATATCTTGTATAAAGATGCGTCTTTCAGCAAATCAGTTTTTGTTTCAGCTAGAAAGTCCTCTCCAGTCAAAGAACCATCCTCCTCCACCCTTAGACAAATTCACAAGTTTGCCAAAGCATAATCTCTACATTTTCTGGTAATCCTTTCACAACATCCTTTTCCAGCCTCTACTGAAAACGAATGAATCCTTGAAATAATGGAAAAAAGCATAGTAAAATGTCACTTCCTACATCCCTTTAATCTAATAGAAATTAAAGACCCAGTTTGAGCATTTGAATGTAGTGAAAGCCACTGATTACTTAGTTCTGGTACAATTTATTGAAAAAACCCAATGAAGAAACATCATATTTTTTTGCTCTGCTAAAAATGAACTATATATTTTGAAAAAAAAATTGGTTCTCTGATAACTGAAGAACTGGTACTGACGGGAATTTCACCCCTCAGATTTGCTAATGGTTTAATCCAAAAAATTTTGGCTACAATAAAATAATCCTATATTATTTCAACAACCATTATTACCAAGTTGAATTTTATATTTCATGCTGATCAGGCAGGCATCTTTATGATACTGTTAATTTTTATCATATATTTCCCTGGTTATTGTATTTCCCTGTTTATTTGACCCTTTATTATTGACTTTTAGCATTTGCTGCTGAAAAAAAATTGAAGTACAGTATTTGAGAGAGAGCAAAATTTAAAGCCTGCAGTTTGAGGATATCTGATGAATATCATATTGAGGTGGGGAAATCCTATCTTCACCATATTGGTGAAACCTCTAATGGTGACAGGTCCTTCAGGAATTCTAAACTTTAAGCTGCATGTCTAAAATATTCACATATTGTTTAATTCATTGAAATCAATAAATTGTAGTCAAGGTAATATTAGTGGCAAACCCTCAGTCGAAATGCCTTTTGTTAGATACCAATTTTTTAAAAAATATCTGGATCTATTCAGTAATTTTGTGTAAAGATTTAAATATGTTTAGAGATATAGAAACAACTGTTATCTTGTGCATCCAAGCTCTTTGAGAAAAATACAAGCTCACTTTGGGTTGGCATTTTCATTTTTTATTTTATTAGTGAAGATAAGTTAGACAGCTTAGTCACAGCAATGAACAACGGTGACACTTTAATCTTATCACGTCACCTACAGTATATTGGTACATAATTGATTATAAAAGGAGATTTGGGATTATTAACCTATCCAATATATTGCTTCAAATGTCAATTGATAGTGTGGAATATTTGTTTCAGGCACATTTGTAATTTTCTGTCCATGGTTCAATATGATAAGCTGATGATATTTTTGGCTACATGATTGCTATATAATTTAAGTATGCTTTTCCCCCCTTCATGGCTATGTTTTGTCTAGATCAGAAGCTATATACACTCTCCCATTTTTACAAGGATTCTGTATTTCTTTTCCTCTAATACTATTGTCTTGTAACTTCTATTAGTAACAAAGTCACTGGAAGGAAATGAGGGCAAAGCCTCTTTGCTTCCCTCTCCTGACAGAAAGTAGATAGATGGGTCTTCCAGTGAGTCCATAAGATTAATTTTAAACATAAAATCAGAGAACTTCCCGTGGCC